ACTGTATCATAGTCCTACTTCTTCACATACAAAGTCCTGGATCCCCCACAGGTGTTGATCCAAAGGACATACCCAGAAAAACCTCCCCCTTGCATTTTTCTCTTGGAGTCTCCTTCTCCAGAGAACTTGTCACTAAAGAGAAGATCAACCTGTCTAAATTCAATTGTAGGGAATCTGTACCTATTCAATCAACAGGCCTGTATAGAGACCTACTCCATGCCAGTCAATATTCTAACACTGGGAGCACATTGATTTCTACTCTAGTAGGCAAAACCTACAAGACACATAAGAGAATGTCAAAGGATAACTTATGCTAGCCATTACAAAAAAATTAAAAAGTAGGGAAAGAGAAGAGGTGGTATGAGTGTTGGAGAGTATTTAGACTTTTGTAGATAATTTTCCATAGAGTAACTCTCTGAAGATGTGACACATTATAGAAAAGCTTAGTAAACTAAAGGTATGACTTGCAATGGTATTGGAAAACAACTATTGCAGACAGGATGAACAGCAAATACAAAAGAGTACTGTTAGGAGAACATGGAAAACCTTTCAGTGTATTGGAATAGGTATTATCCCAGGGGACTCAGAAGGGATTGTGAGGCTTTGAGTATGACTGTCCCATGAGAATGCTCCCTTTAAAAAGGATGCAAGGAGGAGAATGGAAAATAACAAGAGTAAGTACCAAGAGAATATTAAGAGTTACAGAAGTGTAAGCCAAGGGTGGTAACAACTTACAGTTACTGCTATGTATGCTTTGACTAAGACTGAGGGACTTCAGTAGTACCAAGCAAATTAGAGCAGTAGTCAAATTCAAAATGTGTTCTGAAGGCTGAGGAAGCATTAAATCAGAAGGAAAACATTAGGACTATTAGAGCAAAGGAAAAGTACAGAGCTCCTTAAAAGTCAGGAAGAGGGAGAGGAGTGAACTTTTCAAACATTACCTTGGCATTAGTATGCAGCCTGCATTGGACTTTGCAGAGACTAAATCTAAAGAGGTCTTTCATCAGACAGTTTCAAAAAATATGACTGAAGTTATCAGGGCTTGATCTGAACACCATGGTGCTGGGGGTGAGAAGGAAATTGCTGGTGACAGGGGTAAGGGGGGATGGTGGTGCTGGAGTCGTAGTGCAAGATGATGAAGGTGGTGGCATCATGGTAATAATGGCAAATATCATATGGAGTTAGAGGTCAGACTGAAGGTAGAGGCTGATAAGTTGGTTAAGGTAGAGATCATATTGATGATAAAAAAAAGGAAAGGAAAAACTCTAATAGACCTGTATAGAAAAAGAAAGCTTGAGCCTTATGGACTGAAGGAACAAAGGAAAACAGAGCAAGGGGAGCTGGCCACTAGAAACAGATTTGAGATGCTTTTAGAAATAAGTGTTAGAAAGTAGAGTTATGGGAGGACTTGGTGTTGAACATCAATTTACCTAGAAACATAATGAATAAAAAAGTAAATAGCCTATCCAAGGATATTATCAATTAGTTTCTTAGTTTCTATTATCCTGTATGACTATTTGGTAGTAAAGAAAAGATTATTTTTAAATCAAAAGATCTTGTTTCAAACCAGATACCAGTGGCTAATACCTGTAATCCCAACTACTCGGGAGGATGAGATCCGAGGGTCCATTCAAAGCCAGCCTGGACAGGAAAATCCATGAGACTCTTATCTCCAATTACCCATAAGGAAACCACAAGTGGAGCTGTGCTCAAAGTGGTAGCACACTAGCTTTGAGCAGAAGAGTTCAGGGACAGGACACAGGCCCCAAGTTCAAGACCCATGAACAGCTACAGCAACAACAAAAGATCTTGTTTCAGTTCCTCCCCAAGACCAGCTACATAATCTTCAATATGTTCTAACTCTCAAAGTTTTATATAATTAACTCAACAGTACCTTATTTCACAGGGTCATAATAGAGGAAACTAGACAGAATGGCTAAGGATCTGAGATGCAGATTTGAGACAAGAATATGATGGCTGTGGGAGAATACAGCAGAGGAGTTTGTTCATTTCCTGGTGGCCATGACAGCCATAAAGCAGAATTAAAAAGATAGGAAAGGGCCAAGCCAAAGAGAAGACATACTCATCAAAGGCATACCTATAGTGACCTAATTCCTCCAACTATTTCCCATAATTCCTTCAAATTATGAATCTATCAGTCTACTAAGTAAGATCACTTATAATCCAACCACTTCTTAATGACTGGATCCACCAGCTGAAGTCTAAACCATCAATACATGAATTTGGGATGGGAGAAAACACCTTAAAACATAAAAAAAAATTCCCCTGTCATCAAGATGCTTTTTTGTTCCTTATTATTTTTTTGGTAACTCAGAAAATCTTAGTCTCTTGAATTTTGCAGTGATAAATGTTTCCCATGAAATATTTACATACTGGAACCCAACTAATCTTTCTTCCAAACTGGCATGTCAAACTATGAAATAAGAGTTTGATGTAAAACTGTCCATATGAAAATATCAGGTCACTTTAACTTTTCTATATGAATAAAGAACTTCCCTAAAACTTTTCTGTGTTAGAACAGGACAATAGGACAAACAAAGGTACTTTACCTAATCATAGCAGTGAAATCTTTATCAAGAAAATGTGTGCCCCCAATAAATTCATAATGAGTTGAGTCCCTAAATCTAAGATTGAGTCAACAACACCAGTTTACCATGTATGTCATAGATGCCTGTATTATTTTGAGTATGGCAGAAAATTATACATGTTTAGAGCATGACTTTGAAGTCAAGAATCATTCATACCTGTCTTTCCCACAGGTGGTTCATGATCTCTGAGTCTTCATGACTCACATGAACTTGAAGTTCCTATACTGCCCACAGTATATGCAAAACACACTGAGATCAATTTTTCAAATACTCCATGGTGAAACCATCATGTATTCAAAGAAAGTGGCCTTGATTATCCAACTATAGTTCTAGAAAATTATTAGAGCTTATGTTTTAAAGCACTAAGGAAAGCATTTACTTTTACCAGATATTGGCAGTTCACAACACTATGACATCACTTGTTTAAGAAAATCAAAATTGAGATGGTTGTTTCTTGTGGAGTCAGATCATGGGCCATTTAAGGGGCATGTGATCTTCCTGGCAGCATAGGAAGAGTAGTCTGGCCACACAGCACAACAAACTTCCCAAGGAAGAAATCACAGAAAATCGACAGATTCTTCCCCAAAAAGCCTGGCCCCTAAACAAGCCTTTTTTCATTTACATTTCTCTTGTCTCATAAAGCTCAGATGAATTTGTCTATATTTTGCATTAATTTCCATAATACTGACACCCATCTCTATTATCAGAGACTATGAAGAGTAATATATTCTAATACCTCTCCTGATATGTAAATTAATTGGTGGAGGTGAACAGATCCACTAAATAAATTTGGCACATTACAAGTAACTCTCTTTTATCTATACTTAAGAGGGAGCTGTGACTTTGGCACTTCAAAACAGGAAAATTATCTAAAGTTTTCACCTACCTCCATTTTGAAAAGCTGCAGAAAATGATATCTAAGAAAGACTTTGCCTTCAAGGAGAGTACAATCATATAAGAACATTGAGACATGTACACAATAAGGCAAAAGTCACATTCCTACAGAAGCATATAGTAGTTAGTTCTATGCAGATTCAGAACGGGAGCTATAATCACATGTAATATTCCTCAGAGATCATATTAATTCTCTCAATATATTATATCTCATCATCATACCCTTGCCTTCTTTTTAGAAAGACAAATATAAGTACATACAACCCCCTCTTCCCCCTAAAAAAAAAAAGGGAATTGTATTTCCTTAAATTCCCTCTAGGTAATTATTTCTTCATAGCAGACTGGCTGATTTAGAACATACATCAAGTTACAGATAAAGACAGAGCTAGTCATAATAAGAGCACAGCCAAGAGAAGCCCTTAAAATACTGGCTTCTTACCTGACTTCTATGCTATCCATCTATCTGCAAAAGCCTGCCATGGTATACTCTTTAGAATTAGAATTCATATTGAGAAGGAAATGAACTCTGACTTGCCATATTGCTAATTCCCTTTCAATCTCTTCATTCTCCTTCTCCTTCTCCCTCCTCTCTCTCCTTCTCCCTTCCTCCATGCCTCCCTCCCCCCATCTCTCTGTCTCATACACACACACCACAAATTCAATGTTGAACAATAGCATGGTACTACTAGAGAACAATAAGTAATCTATAGAGTCATACTTAAGCTGGAAAGTTGACCGTAGTCCTTTTGGGGGAAGTTCTATATACCATCATTGTTTTCTATTCTGGAGCAGTGGTTCAAAAATACTTGCATACAGAATTGATAAATGCTCTTTTGTCAGAAAGTTTGGCATTGTATTATTATGAATTTCAATTTTCCAGCCTGGTGTTTCAATTTTTTACAAATTTTAGGACAAACAAGAAAAAAAGTTAAGATTTCATTTGAAATGAATAAAAATGGAGTGGAAAAAAAAACATATCCTTTGGTGCAGTTCAGTCCATAGGAATTCCTAATCTTTATGAATAAATAGAGTTTAATGGAAGGAAAATGTCTTTTCTCCCAAAACCTAAATATGGAATACTAGACATGGTCCAATTTGAAATGGAAAAAGACAAAACCTTAGATAGGTTGATTCTAATAAAAAACCATTCAGCCTTTTTCAAAGCTCTTCAATAAAGTTAGGAGAGTTTGCTGAGAGTTTTGTACTGCTATTCAGCTCAGAATCTCAAAGAAAGTCATCTTGGTCTCATTTCCAGAGCCATTGAATTATAGATATATTCTTTTGGATGTTAAAGTAATAAATGGTCTTTTTTGAAACTGAAATAGATTATCTTCATAAAAAAATAAAGCTCTAGTATCACTGGATGTTCACGTACTGAATAAAAGAGTATTGTATAAATGCCAATGATTTTTTTAAATCCTTGGTTTAATTGTCACAGCTGTCCTCGTGATAAATTTACATGCATATGGACAAACTATATACATCTTTATTTTCTAGCAAGAGAAACTTGGCGACATCTGCTTCTCCCTTCGCTATGTTCCCACTGCTGGTAAACTGACTGTGGTCATTTTGGAGGCAAAGAACCTGAAGAAGATGGATGTGGGAGGCTTATCTGGTAAGTCCATGCTGATTATTGATTTTTTAATGCTGTTTTATCATGGATGCCAAATGCATAGTTCACACACTGCACTCCCACTCTTTGATGGATCATAGTTCTCTCTTCCTATAAAGCCTGGAAGCAGTTTCAGAATTCATCCCAACACACCACCCCAGGAAGCCACTCTCAGTTTATTGGAATTGGCACCGGAGCCAAAATCCATTTCCTTCTTTGCAGGCAAAGTATCATCATTTCAATGTCATTGGAAGCCAAAAATGTTTCTTCTTTTTCAAAAGACAGTGCAATAGATTTATAGTTTTAAATCAAAATGTTTATACCATATAATATTTTAATGTATTTTATCTGAGATTTACTTATTAGGTATTGGAGATTTTCAACTTTTATTTATTTTATTGGTACAAGGAATTATGCTCAGGTCTTGCTAAGCACGTACTCTCCCATGTGAGCTATGATTCTAGCCTTTAAATTTCAAATATATACAAATAATACTCTATTTGAGAGCAAATCCTCTGGAAAACCTAGGAAAGGGAAATTTTTGAGTGCAAAGTTCTGTGCAACCCAACCATGACCAAATATAGTGAGTAAAGTATATTCTTGTTCAAAAGCAAAGTCAAGGATCTGACACTTAATGTGGTTGAATATGATTTTTTCTTCCTTTTTTTTTTTTGATGTTCCAGTAAATTGTTATGATGTAAGGAATTTTCATGATATGCCACAAGGTCATCACAGATAAACCACAGTTGACCTTGTTTCCAGCTGTAGAATTACAATAGACATACTCATTATTCAGTGTTCTCTCTCATGAAAATATTGCAGATTTCAAGAGTTTACCCTAATGTAGCATAGTGATTGTATACTTTAAAGCATAATAGCCCCTTCAAAAAAATTGCTAAAACTGGTTCCACTTACTGACCCACCAATTTATCAACCAAATGCTTTTAGTACCCAAGTTGATCTTCCTTTATAAATAAATCACCTGAGAAGCTGCACTCATTCTTTCTTGTTACTTAGAACCTATTTCATAACTTCCTGCTTTATTGCTAATAGCATCACAGAGGAAACTTAAACCAATGAGCACAGTTTCTTCTAAAAATATACAAAGAGTATGTAGTGTGCCCCCATGTGAAAAATATATGGAGACAATTCTAACAACTTTTCAATAGTATATCACTGCCAGATTAGTGCATAGTACCCTAAGGTAACCTGAGACACTTTGACCTTTCTCTTTCCTTTGGTTCAATAGCCACATACAGTTAGTGGTTCATTTGTAACTTTTCTCATCTGTTCTGTTTCAAACCTCACACCAGCCATGCCTTTATCACCTCCACCCACTACTCCTCCTGTCTTCCTCCTAGTTCATTCATTAACCTTCCACAGAATTCCAGAGCAGTTCTGGCTTATTTTAAGATTCCCAGACATCAGTTCCTATCTTCATGGATAGATATTTCAGCTACTATTGTTTACTATCAAACTTGCCTGACAGTTACACCCATGTCAGGTAAGATAACTGCTAGCCATGCTATTGGAGGAAGAGCATCTAGGATGATTCAGACCTCTCATGGTACTAACTCAGCATTGTGACACAAAAGGGACAATGCCAGAGGCCAGGCAGTCCTTATTTAGAATTTAGAATTTTATGTTCCTTTTCTAAAGAAAAGCAGAAAAACGTTCAGTAGCTTCAGAACCCACACACCTTAAATCCACTCCTATATTTGAATTACCTGGTATGGTTTTTCTTCTTAAATAAGGAGATCTATCGTAGCCTTAATTGTAAAGTTACTGTTGCCTATGAAATTAGATCAAAATCATTCAATCACACATTGTAGATACTCTCATATCTCATTTACAAATAAAATAGCTCATTCTTCAAATGAGCCTACTGCCATGTGGGTAAGGGGTGGTGGGGAATGGGCCTTAAACTCAGGGCCTCATGTTCTCACTCATACTAGCAAGGTTATTCACCTGAGCCATACCCCTGGTCCAGCATTTTGCTGGCTTTTAGGAGGTGATTTATTTCATGTAGAATTTTTTTCTTCCAACAATGCTTAGTTAAATCCTACCCATTGTTCTAGCCCACCTGAAGTGCTACTCTTCCATTCTCTTAACCATCTCTTGTACTGTGTCCCTCCCTTGAATTGGAAATTGTGCTGAGCACTAGTTTCACATTAATGGACAAAATAGTCGCAAGATCCTGATATGTGTGTATATGTTCTAATGTGGAAAACAAGCAAGTATTATATACACCAAGAGATCACATCTCTGCATGGAATTAGGATAAGGAAGGCTAGGGAAGCCATTTTTAACAGGATTATCAAGAAGTCCTCATGACTAGGGGATATCATAGGCACTAACCTGGGAAAGGTGAGGAAATGAGCCATGGGGTTGTATGAGGTGAGAAAGTGTTTTAGATGGTAGAACTCTGACACCTTTTCTAATCCATCTCAGCAGAACAAATCTTTGTCATTTTTAAATGCCACTCGCAGTTTGTTTACACCCTCTAATATCGCACGTCCCTCTCACTAGACTGTGTCTCGTATTTCTGTCTCTCACAATGCTAGCACTGACTGGTAGCACTGAACAGAGCTGCCGACTGAATAATGAATTATTTACAAAGAAGCTATGGACTGAAAAAAACAAGTCTGGCATTTTAAATTTGTTTAACCTACTTACTATTAAAATAACTCTAAGCACTTGGATGATGTGTCTCAAAGTAAGTTGACCTATGTAGGAAGAGACCAGAATTATATAAGATCATGCTCAGTGATTCAAATGCCAAGCCTCCTTTGCTGGAAATGGCTAGGTACTTGGAACCAAGGTAGACTGTTTTACCAGGGTTTAAACCCCACTCTGACATTACTAGAAATTTAACATTGGAAAAGTTATTTAGCTCTTATAAGCAAAGTTCTACTTCATCTATAAAGCAAAAGTAGTAAGAGGACATTGTTATGTGATTTACTGTGAGAAATGAGAGCAAAGAGTTTAGAATAACAAAGCACTCAATAAATATTATAATAATGACTTCTAGTAACTCTATCAAATATGCAAAATGTAAAAACAACCAATTTGATGCTTAAGTTAATTGCTTGATTCAATGGGAAGAAAATTCAACTGCTTGGTTACTACACTCTGCTGATCATTAGGCTTGCGTTAATCCAATAGTAAATTAAGATAAACTAAGGAAATCAGGCGCCCGTGGCTCACACCTGTAATCCTAGCTACTCAGAAGGCTGAGATCTGAGGATCACAGTTCCAAGCCAACCCAGGACAGGAAAGTTCATGAGACTCTTACCTCCAATTAACCAACAGAAAACCAGAAGTGGCGCTGTGGTAGAGCATTAGCCTTCAGCAAAATTGCTCAAGGACACTACCCAGGTCCTGAGTTCTAGCTCCACAACTTACATCATCATCATCATCATCATCATTATCAAGAATAAAACTAATTTTAGAAGTAATTTTTTCTTACTACTGTCTGACAGAGTTATTCTCGTCCTACTGTGCTGATCTAAAAGGTACTTCATAAAAACTCTTTCTTTATCATATACCCATATAGCAAATAATTAAAATTTCAGCCCTTCAAACTTTGCAATGATGAGCTCACTTGGACTATTCACATCTGTACAGAGATTCTTGTGCTTACAGTCTCAATGCTCCAAGTCCAGGAAATACATAAGTCCAGGAAATACATAAATCTAACTCTCTATAAATAGTGATACTGTCCTTCAGGAACAAATTGGTATGGAAAGCTAGGAGTCATTTTTTACCTAGTACTTAGAGAAAATCAACTTTTCTGTCTAATAAGCTACATCTCATATTTTATCTACACCGCCCTTTGCACATTTTTTGTTGGTCATGGAGCTTGAACTCTGGGCCTGGGCACTGTCCCTCAGCTCTTCAGCTCAAGGCAAGCGTTCTACCACTTGAGCCACAGTGTCACCTCCAGTTTTCTGGTGGTTTACTGGAGATAAGAGTCTCACGAGCTTTCCTGCCCAGACTGGCTTTGAACCATGATCCTCAGAATTCAGCCACCTGTGTAGCTAGAATTACAGGCATGAGCCACCGGCGCCCAGCCCTTTGGCCCATTTATGTGTCAGAAATGTCTCTATCCACACACACTTTTCTATAAGATGCTTTCTTTTTCATTGTCCATAGGTTTATATGTCCTCTACCTGGTTTTCTACCATTCTAGAAATATAATTAGGGGAAGTAAACTAACTTTAAACATTCACATTCACTTAAGAATACTAGATTCCTCACTGAAACCATGAATCCACAGAGGTAGATGAATCCTGTGGGTAATATTTATGAGGGTGTGACGTGTTGCCTCCCTCCATCAGCGTCACCTAAGAGACATGTTAAAATTTTAAGATTTCAAGGACTACCTTAAACCAAACTGTAGCTAGCAGTCTCAGATGGGAACATGCAATGGTTATTTTAAACAAACCTCCCCTCCAATTCCCTGATCTTCCCCACAATACATGTCATTGTTACACATATTAAATTTGAAAACTATAGCTTAAAGGCTTCAATGCTATGTCATGATTCTGACACGCGGGACAGCCACATTGCAAGCTAGAATTTGTTGTGAGTGGTATAGAATAAGTATATCCTTTGCCTTAATAGAGGAATTTTCTAAAAGAAGAGGTTGCATTTCTCTTAAAAGTCCAGTACCCACATCTCTGAAAAATACTTACTCCCATGTCTAAACCATTGTCTTTTTACCCCTTAGTCTCTTCCATTTAAAGAGAATATAAAAGCAGGAATTTCTTTGACATTATCTTAAGTCATTCCCCACTACTCTCGACCATCATCACCCTTATCCATCTTAACATTGGCGCTGAAAGCATGACTAAGAAAACAACTGCAAATTCAATCGATTTGAACTAAAAGCCACTAGTCTGGGACCAGGGCCAATAAATAAAATGGCAAAAACTTATTTGAGCCAATTAGATAGGGATATGCAAATTAATTGGCCATGATATCAGGGTCAAGCAACAGTA